TTTCTATGCAGTGTGCAGTTGAATTTCCCTTTTCTTCAACTGTTCACCGCGAGACACATAACCACGCGATTTTCCCAGCTGTTACGTCAACCAGCTCCAACGCCACGTCTATAATATTAAATAGCGAGAAATATGGAGGCGTTCGACGTAACTCGTCCGCTGGAGATGCGTAATTTATTAGAGACCAACGTATGCACTACCCAAGCAGTCGTCAACTTCGTTTCACATGAATCTCATTTTATCGCAAAAGAGTCGTAAAACGGCTAAAATTATCCGGAGTTGTATCACGCTCCTTTCGAGCAGTACATTTATTCCTGTTCCCAGTACCTCGCCGAAGCAATTCCAGAATAGAAACAATATCGTCATACGAGTGCGAGGGAGGAGGGGTTTGGAGGGAGTTGTGCGTAACCATCTTCGATGATTTAGGAGAAGAAAAATAAGCGAGAGTACCAACAACCTGTTGGAACGCGTCAAAACGTTTCATAAGTCTCCTGCGTCTTCTTGCATTAATTTCGCTCGGGGGAAACGTATTGCTCGTCTACTCTCATAGCAACGATCATTTGTCACGACTATGCACGATGCATCAACCGTTCGCCCAAGAAATTATTGAAAAGATCGTCGACGTACTTCGCGAGATGTTAGTGGACGAATTTTGATTAAAAATATGCTTGGAAGCAGCATTTTGGGAATTTTCTAAAAAAACAGGGTTGGTATTTAAGAAGGGGAAATTAAATTTGGATTTTTCTACGCTCGTGTTTTTAAACTTATTATTGTTATCGGGATACAAATGTGCGTCGAAATGTGTACAGAGGCCTTTCAATAATCCTTTTAAGTTTAGGATAACTCAATACTACCAAATGGAGTCGATTCAGGAACTTGGACCACGCGTTAAAAGAACTTAGAGCGTGGAAAATCAAACTTTTTCTGTCGGGAAATGATGAGATAACGAAATGAAAAAAAAATATCAGATAAGTAAAGGAAGATTAAAGCTCTAAGGAGTGGCTCTAAGGACTGTCCGTCGAGCGAAACGTCGCGACGCAACAAAACCTAAACCATTTGCAAATGAAAAGCAGAAGTTGCTCTTGAAATAATGCCAACGTCGGATTAATAGTCTTTCGCTCGAGAAGACAAACCCAAGGGCGTCGCTAACGATGAGCCCGACACGTGAGATTCACAACTGTTCTGAGACATCCGTTTCGATTAAACTCTATTTCGGTTCAAACAAACACGAAGCCATGAATTCTGCAATTTTAAACTATCTTCCTTACGAGTACAATCTTATAATTAAGACAGTTTAACAAGAAACGTTTTAAAAACCACAACTCAACTGCAATTACCCATACAATATTCGTAAGTAGTACAAATACCTTATTAAATTGACTTTTTCCTTAAATTTATTAACGTATCTTGAAATATTTGGTAGAATGTTTTTAAGAGTATTAAATAAGTGTGATCGAAAATGTTAAATTACCAGCGTAGACTATTCCACAAACACTAAAATAAGTACGAGGCTATATCATTTCAATTTTGCACTGAATAACGTAAAGTTTATTCACGATGTATAATATCGCTCTTTACGGCCAATTGCAGCCCTTCCGCGGATCAATATTAAACGGTATTTCACATAAATATTCAGTTTCCTCGTCGAGTTTCAACGGTCGAGCTAATCTCGCGGCACGCGAAAGAATTTAAACTGCTTAGAAGTATTCCCATCGAGCGACAAGTTTCTCGCGAGAAACTCGTGCGCGTAAAGATCTTCGCGAGTTTCGTACGTTTAAAGAAGGTTGCGTGAATTTTCAGAAATTTCCAGACGGTAGGGAATTTTTTTTAAACGACGAAAGAAAAAGAATCACCTGATCTCTGAACCCTATGCACAGTTTCCAAACGAATAGTATAATACTGTTATTTTTCGAAACTTTTAAGAACAATTTCTTGGGAGGAATTGTTGAAAAATATTCGAGGAATGTAAGGAAAACGAAAATAAAATGTAACTCAGATCAATGTGCAAAAATATGGAATAGCCTCGGTCCTTGCTAATTTACATGCGTAACTCTATTAATAATTAAATTCGCGCGAGTCCCTTTGAATGTGCACAAGTGGAAAAAAGTTTCCTCGCTGCAACGTTAAAAATTCCCTGGAGGAAAAGGCGACGAGGACTAGTTTCAAACTAAGTTACCGCGAAACGGACGTCTGCGTGCAAAGAAGGGGGAGCGCGGGACTCCGCTTTCGCAGCGATAATGCATTCGAAACCACAGTATCCCGTCTTTTACGGAAAACCAGGAGGATCCTGACCACTAGTCGCCATACGTATAATTCTGTACACCCAGTAGCGTGGCAAATGGAGGCAAAAGGTATTAAAAAGACAGTCAAAGTATTTATACTTTAAAGAATTTATATTTCAACACTTTATACTTTACGGGGCCTATAGTATCTAATTTTTAATTCCAATGTTCACCTACTAGACATTTATTCATGGTGTCGTCCACTTAAAATGTTCAATTTTTTTAAACAGTCAAGACTCACTATTAGACTACGGATCTTTGTGCAAAATAAAATCTTTGCAAACGAACCCACAAAAAATTGAACCTATTTTTTACTTTACGAATTTACTTTACTCTGCAAATTTAATAATACGATCTTTACTTTCAATGATTTTTACATTCTTGCGTATTCCATTCACTCTGTGATTTTTTCCAAATTCAAATTTTCTATAAATGGAGAAATATATAAAACCTAGTAACAGTATGCAGATATTAATTGTCAGTCTAGATCAATATATACTAATGCAGAAAATTGTCTTCCGAGTCTCTTCTTTTTTAATCGAGTATCTAATTTTCGTTAAATACATTCGAAAACTCACAGGAGTAGAAACTGAAGCCTCTACATAGATTTGTAAAATTTCTAGTTGCACCATCATGTACACTAATACACTGATAGGTGATATGCATGTCGCCTGGGGAAGGTCGAAGGTCAAAAGGATCTCGCCCAAAGGATAAGGGATAGACGTCGAATCGTGCGACCCCGATACGTCTCGAGACGAATAAACGAGAAACGAATAGCGGGAGACACAAGTGACGATTTATCAAAACGTCTGTTTCCTTCGACTTCGAATCGAAAGCTCGTCGGGCTCGAAGAACCGTCAGACGTTTGACGATTCCGCTACGAATCTTACAATCTTTCGTCAATAAAATTCATCGTTTCGAATCGATATCAATCAAGATCGGATTCGTGTTTTCGCTTTGCCAGCTATTAAAGTATATCGTACAGGAATTATTACTTGAACTGAATTAAACCTCGTTCATAGAACACCAGTAGGAGAGAAAAGAACGATTTCGTGCGCAAATTCTCGATTTTTCATTTATACGCTTGGGAACGTTGGTTTATCGTCTAATTTTATATTCCATTTTCGTCTGGTACCAATCATTTATTTTTTAAATATAGAAATTCAAAAGATCGATTGCAAAAATCTGTTCAGATAAATGTGTATCAGAATGCAAAGCATTCCTCTGGGGGGTGGCGCCCCTAGTTAGCGAAACACCGTTCTAGACTATAACCGGTGAAGATCTGCGAGTTAATTTTTATTTTAGAAGCAAACGCAACGCGCGCATTTAAAGATACATCCCTAAACTGACAGTCGAGAAATACACGCAAAAATGCGAATTGTCATCCATTCGAATAAATAAATGAATTCTTAAAAAAAGAAACTTTGCAACTGGCTTGTATTTTCACTCAAAGATAGTACGCATAGAAAGTAGATTAATACACGATTTAACATTTCACATAATGCACTCCGAATTCTTTTTCAATTTTGTTTCCTATAAATCCCTATTATGGGTTCTATTTCAAACGTACTTCAAAATATTGGGTTGTCTGGAAAGTCCATGCCGATTTTTAGTAGGCGGTACAGGTCTAAATATATCGGAATGGTTGAAAACAAATAACATGTGGACATTCCTTAAGAGGTGGAAAAATTGTGAAACAAAATGGTACATATATAATTCAATAAATAAATATCGAAATTCAAACGTGTCTTTGAATGTTTCTTAAAAATTGGCACGAACTTTCTGGACAACCCACAGTGGGTGCAGAAAGTATTCGTACACCGACCAATTTCCCAAAAAACTATGTAAAATTGTAATTTATTAGCTTATTTTGGATAAACAATGACATTCTACATATTCTCGGAAATCTCTAGAATAGATAGATTACAAAAAAATAGCTATTTATGTAAGTTATAAAATTAACAAGAACAAAACAATTAATCGATAGAAATATTGAAGCAATAAGTATTCGCACAACTGTTTAATGTTTAAAACTTCATTAAAAACTTCCTTTTGATTTTATAATTATTGTAACTCTTCTAAGCGTTAAATTAATTAAATTATTAGTTATTCGAAGTGGGATCTTCTTCAATTTCTCTATTAGAGCCATTTTTAAAAGTACTTTACTGGAAAATTGATGTTTTTTCATTCGTACGGAGCAATAAACTAATGTGTTTACGTTAGAAACTCTACTGTAAATGGTTCGTCATAAAAATCGTACAAATACTTATTGCTTCTATGCTTTTACACACTTTTCACATTTTTTTGTTGATTTCACAAATTATGTAAACTTGTAAATGTTGTTTGGACTATATCTATCTTAGAGACTTCCGAGAATATGTAAAATATCATTGATTATAAAAAAAGAAGTTAAGAAACTACAATTTCACACAAAAGTTTTTTGGGAAATTGATCGATGTACGAATACATTCTACACCCACTGCAATACAATTGCTCAATTCATACTAACATCAATCAATTCTTCTCGTGAATTATATTGAAAATAGATTCCAGGCTGTCTACCAATCAAATATTTATAGGACCTCTAAATAAAGAAAAACCTACATTCAATAATTAGTCTTTACTTTCCACCTATATAAATGATGTCATAACTCTATGTATCAGTGTAAAGCGGTATTTTAAAATAAAGGAACCACTGGAGGAACCATTCTGAGTTACCATTTCTGCATCATCCTGTCGCAGACGCTTTCGTCGCGTCCTTTACGTCTCCGGCATCGTCCTGGACCGGCGTCGCTCCGTTGATATGCAAATCACAGTTTGAGAATTACTCAACCGCGGAGGAGATAATCTGTCGTCACAGTGGCCGTTGACAATCGTCCTGATAACGAATACGCGAACGCGAACCACGATATACCGACCGAACGAACGAAACGCGAAAACTAGATACGCACACGCGTAAAGCGCGAGACCAACTGACTGACTCTCAGCGATTTCGGTCGTGGCTTCCCCACTAGCGCCATCCTCATCGAACAGACTCACCGATGCATCTATCGTCACTCAAATGCGTGCGCACTGCCGAGAACGCTTTAATCACTTTTTCTATTAATCTACTTCACTTTCGGCCAACCCTCCATATACCACAGTGTGCTTTGCTTTAGAAAAAGAATCGTACGATGTAATGGTCGATAAACCCAAATAATTATATAAAAAGTGAAAGGGAAATTTGAATAAAGACGAAGTTCTAACTTCAGAAATGTGTAAAATTTTATTTGAATAGTAGATGTCCGACGGCTGTTTACCCGCCGTTTATCAAACGGAAATTAGAATCACGGATATGTAACTGGTCGATCGAATAAACGTACATATTGTAATAGAATTAGATTTTAAAGACGAAAATAATAGGTAACTTCGTTATAAAGGGTAAAATTAGGTTGCTAAACAAGAGCTAATTCGAATAAATCTCTCATTTAAATCTAATAGTAATCTCTCTTTCCATTCTCATAGTTCAAATTTTAATTTTGTATAAGAAAGGATCTATCGGAACAAGATGTTTTATAGAATGTCGCCATCAGACTTTTAGATTTACCCGCCAAAAATATGTTCGTGACATTCGATTGAATTGCTATAATGTTACAAGAAAATTTTTAATCGTTTTACCTAAAGATCGTCACGTTCCTCCTTTTCTATTTCCTTAAATACTTCCAGCAACGATAATTATGTTCATACATATCTCTGCATAGTATAAAATAAAGTCCCTGGTGGACGTCTGTCTGTTTGTTCGGGCTAATCTCCAGAACTACTTGTCGGATATCTGTAAACAATATTCGGAAGAATTATTAAGCATAAAAAGTGCTACAAAAAAAATCGCGACAGCATATATCTATCTTTAAAAGACAGCCCACGATAAACGTTCTCAAGTTATGGTTTGTAGTACCAAATCAACGTAACAAGTGTCTTTGAATAGTTTTCTATTTTCACTGTTAGATGGCGCCATTTATAGTCTTTTTACCGACCTATCGGTACATTACCATAATGTCGGTAAAAAAAAACACTTTATATGGCGCCATTTAACAGTAAAAATAGAAACTATTCGAGGACCAACTTGTTACGGTGATTTGGTATTACAAACCTTACAAACCATAGCTTGAAAACGTTTATCGTGGGCTGTTTTATAATAATAGATAGCTATTCACATGAAGAAAATAGTGAGAACAAGAGAAACTGTGAGTTTAAACATTTTTAAAACAAGACTAGTTCTATAAAAAAAAAAAAAATGTATAGGGTAAGGAAAAAATAGGTTTTGAGAACATTTACACGGTCATACGAATTGCAAAACATTTTATTCAATATTATATAAAATAATGACAGTGGAAACACACAGGGGAGAACATGGGTTGTTTCTTCTAATATAATAATCTTTAATTCTACTAAATATTGAAGTAAATGCCCATTTGAAATAAAAACATTCGTCTTTTCTCCATCGCTTTAAATAGTTATAAGGTACAAAGGTACTGTTACATATTTTTGTTTTTAATTCTTCTGTTCAGCATGTTATGCTGCAGTCACCTATACCCCACAATATTTTGCGAGTTTAATTCAATTTCATCCGTGACCATTATAACCGTCAATCTTCGAAGGTTAAAGATCGCAAGGAATCTTCGGGATAAATCTCTAATACTGCTGTTGCCCCAAAATTAAAAGGAACGGCTATGCCACCGTCGAGAACAAGTCCGCCATCGAAACACTGCGATCTCACTGTTAACGTACGACAAAATCCGCGCGAATGCAGACACTTTGGTATAGGTCGGTGATTAGTTATTATCATATCTCTTATAGCATAACACATTTTTAAGTCCTCTGAAATATAAACTGGAAATTAATACTCACTTTATGATCATATTATCAAGTGTACCTACCAGGATCAAAACGTAAACTACTGTTAAAGATGGTGCAAATTTTTGTTATTTCCTCGTTACTAAACTCCCGTTTTTCATCTATAAGATTCAAAATTTCGCGTACTATCTGCGAATTGACACTATTTATCGACTTATGCCAAGATGTTGACCCTGTTCCAGTGCTAACACATAAACCAGAGCTTTTCATTCTCTGATACTTTTCTTCTTCATCTATTTTAATGAGCAAGTCACTTGTCCTAGCTGATAATGTCTCTGCTATAAAAATCTAGGTATAAAGAACAACCGAATTCTGTTAATATTTAGCAACTCATAAAGTAGACTGACATTGAACGCAAATAAAACTAACTTCATTTAATGCTAACCAGGGTAATCGTCTCTCTTTTGGTAGACTATTTGGTGCTTCTTTCTGCATGTCTTGTGTATAAAATCTTTAAATAATAAAAAATAAGTTTATGGATGGAAACATGTTTAATGGATATTATGCAAAAAAAGTGGTTTAGTTTTATTACTTTTCGCCACCTGCAACACGACCTTTTTCATGTGTATGAAAAGGAGCTTCCCAGATGCCATCTCCCTTTAATGTTGTTCTAATTCTTCTTCTCATTACCACACGATAATAGCCTGCTTTTAACCTTTCAAAAATTTCAGGTATGCTCCTTGTGTATTTTGATGGTAGCATAAGAAATCCTTCAGACCATTCAGGATATGAATTAATACCCATTATTGGTTTTTGGTTATCATATATTAAATTAGCTGCCAAAAGAAATGTGCCATCACCACCAATTGGAAGAATTAAATCAGCCCAAGTAAAATTTGATTGGTCAAGATTTTGTCTGTAAGACATCACTATGAATAAATAATGTAGTAATCCATATATTCATTCTTCATTGTTTAAGATCAAACTATTTGAGTAAAAATATTTGTTCAAATTATATTTACTTGTTTATTATTTTATATTCTATATTCATCTTTCTCAGCTCATTGATCACTTGATGCTGCACATTTTTTGTTGCAATATGACTAGCCAACATAGCCTCATAATCAGATCCTCTTTCCAACAGTTTTAATTTTAATTGCTCTTCGGTCAAGTCTGGTTCTCGTAATTTTTCAAAATAATACCGAGACAATTTTGCCACAATAAGCACACGTTTTGGTACAAAGGTTGATTCATTTCGTAGGAATAGCTGAAGGCTTGTACAAACATTATACTTGCTTGGTAGTAAAAATTGCAAAGCTTCTGAAATTTTATTCAGATCTTTGTATTTATAAATAAATACTTGTATGTATTAGAGAAATTAGTTTTTAAATCACTTTCCACGATACTAATGACACATTAACGACAGAATATTTTATTTTGATTTCAGTAAGAAGGGTTCAAATTACTTTATTATTAGTTTTATTATTCGCTCAAACGTTTTAATTGATACAATTGAACAATCGTTTAATTCTCCGCTTTTGAGTTTTGCAAAATAAATACGAAGTATAGAACTTTGATGTTCCAACTATAATACATTCACCAATAAATGAGTAATAGTCGAGTCTCGATACGAACTATTCAGATTAAATTAATGCATATCGAAGTTATTATCGAAAGTTATCTTTTGTTTTGAGAGTTGTCATCAAAGTTGATGATTACGCGCTGTCATCGACAAAACTAAATGGTAAAAATTGACTTACTAACAGATCTTCGAAGATGGCTGAACGTCGTCATTGCATACTGCTCGACAAAGTTTATCTAATAAAACTATATGAATGACAATGTAAAAAAAAAGGCATAAAATTACAGTGCAACGTTCCTAACCTCCCCGTCAAGGCCTCCTGGACACTCCTTTCAAAATCAGAGGCCATTCATGTTTTATGGGATACGACAATCGTGGCACTGTAATCGTCTTTCTAGACGTCCACTGTACAGTGTACTACACAATACGTAGTTTCTGGTATATTTATTTATAGGGATTCCCCATAATGACGGGCATTAAAATTCTTTATTTATTTTGGCAATCAAACGCAGCTTCTGACAATCTCGACGGAGTTTGTCTGTGGTCTCACGATCTTTATTTTTTCTAATAATTCTAATAAGTACAATAATACTAAAATTAATTTTAGTGGCGCCATCGGTGGTAAAGTGCTCAAGTTTGTAGTGAAAATAGTTCTTAATCTTTCTGATAGATGGCGCATCCGATATTTTTTAATAAATTATTCCGTTTTTGTCACAAATGCATAATTAATACGATTCTTTGACTTATAACGCTATGATATAGTGTTGATATATCTGATATTCTATTTGTACGAATAGTTCTTTAATTTTAGCAATAATTACCGACTCTTTAGTAAATAACGCCATCTAATAGAAACACTGGGAACTATTTTCACTACAAACTTGGGAGTTTTACCACCAATGGCGCTACCGATACCTTTGAATTAATTATTTTTTATTCTTCGTAAATATATAAATGCATTGATGAAATTTGAAATAAATACCAGACAGCCGAAACTTAAGAGCTGCAGTCTTTTCAAGTTATCGATCAATGACGTACTTGTATACCAGGTGTTTAACAACAGTCATTTTACAATCAACTCTGCGACTCACCAATACCCTTTTACCATCAAACATGTGTGCCAAAGTTTTATAAAAATGTGGCGAGAACAGGAATTACTTAGTCCATACAAAAAGCAAATGTTTCGTTTCTATTTCTGGATCCTGGTAGCTGTTTGAACAGTCTCCACTTAGCTGATAATTTACTAATACATAATTAATTTGAAGAGGTACTTGAAACGACTAATCGCGTTAAGTCTAAGATCTGTTAGATAAGTTTTACTGGTGAGCCTAACCAGCAGATCCGGGACGAAAGGCAATAATATTTCCATTCGCATAAAAAACTATTTCAATACTCATTTACCAAACCGCGAACTACGCGACTCCGAGTTTCCTTATGATTTAAATTTCTATCATATATTATTGAAACAAATTAATTTATATTGTCGTGACAACCATTGAGATAGTTTATAATCCCGATTATCTTGGCAGCGCTAACGCAGCCGTGCATAGAACCGTTTTGAAA